TCATCAACGTCGAGGGGGATTCGGATAAACACAAAAGAAAATAAAATTCGCCGTTGAAAAGTCGGGTTTGGAACAAGCTGTGCACTCGTGAACTCAGAAGAGAGTTCAGCTCGAGCCGGCAAGTGGTAACTATACTAATTCAGCTCACAGTTCAGTTGCGACCAGCCAAATGGGCCGGCCTGCTGATTGATTACGCAATCGACTGGACTGGCTGCTAATCACTGAAGTGACTGAGTTCTCAATGAGCATTGCTAGACTAGAACCTCGTGACCATCAGCACTGGCAGTTGCAAGTTTGGAGCTGATATAGCCAATCTGGATCGACGAAGCCCATGGCTGCTGAATTCCTCTGAGTCGCTCACCTTGTCGGACGAGCAGGAACTAGGGTGTGACGTTGCGCCAGCAGCGAAGATGGAGCTTGTCCGTGAATGAATGATTGATTGCCTGGTGACAACTCGAGCAATGACTGAATTGCTGAACTCCCTACCCTCCCATAAATACGCCCGGCTAATTCGCATGGCCTGGTGTATTGCGTGACCAAGTGGACGCCCATTTCGATCGGTCAGGATTGGTTGGTGTGCCTGCCCGCCAGCCGGCCTGCAAGAAGAAGATGCATCAGATTGAGCATTCGTTTGAGGTCCGTCAGAATGCTGCTTCAGTACCAGCCAGCCAGCTAGCACTCGCCTCCTCCTGGTCAAATGGGAAGGAGACTTTTCACATGCGAGCTTCTCTCGGGCCACACATTCGATGAGACGTGCTTTGTGCAATTGTAGTAGTAACTCTGAATCGGTGGAGTCGTTGGTTCGATCGACGTTTGAAGCCATCTATCTGTCTTCAAATCTTCAGAATCCATCGTCGTCATTCATTGCTCCCCTCAGCGAAACCTCTGGAGGGCGGCGGAGTGTGCTCCTCTTCGTTGAAACCTTCAGAGGCTGAACAGCGAGTTGGACGTGGACTCAAGACCATTCCCTAACGTCCAGACTCAAGCATAAACCCAGGATCTCTTCAGCTTAGTCTCTTGGACGATTTCTACAGTATGAAATGAAAGTGTCACTTCAACAGTTTGAGTGGCTCATTATTTTGATTGCATTTAAGTTTTCATTGGTCCTTATCGAACATAATCTGAAATGAATATCGCTATAAAATCATCTTCGAAAGGTCTTAATAAGTTTGCAAATTACGTTACAGGGTGACTTGATACATTAGAGACGGGCGGAAACGATGAGTTGAGATTTAAGAAATCGGAATGTCACTGGGACATACTAATGTAGCTTCTAATGTGATGATAGAATGATTTTATTCTTTCATTAATTGCGTTGTGATGGTCTGGCCATCTTGCTTTTGATCCCATATCTTGCTGCGTACAATGCTTAAATATCTTTCATATTTAAGCATTGTACGCAGCAAAATTTTCTGTTGCAAGTAATGTTGGCGCTCTTGTTGTACTTGAAGGAAGCGAGTCAATCGTGACAAAGATTTGAAAGGGAAATGCATGTAATGTAAGTTTGTTGCCGCAGTGATCTTGGCTCATAAACGACTGTCAAAGCTCGCGGCCATATCGTGCACGAGAATGCTTAAATGGAACTGGATCGATATGGGCTCGCACACAGACACACAGACAGTTCATGGTGGAGTCTCAGAAGCTGTCCTTACACATCTCGTGATGGCCACAGTAGATCCGTCGTTCGTAAAATGGCAGACAATTTGGAAGTGCGCAGACTTGGTGTCTGAAGATGGCTGGAAACAGTGAGAAAGTTGCTCGATCTGGACTGGACTGGACTGAACTTTGCTCTGCGCAGTTGCAACTAGAAACCACCCTTTGACTGATTCCTTGATTGTCCTCGTGACAACACCAGCCAGCAATCGGTGTCAGGTTCCTGAACAAGCGCCGCCTTAGCTTCAGGATCCCCTCTAGAGAGAGAGATAGAGAAATTGCCAGAAGATTTCTTAAGAAGGAGGAGAAGAAGAAGGGGAGGGGGGATGGACACTGGGTCCCGTCCTTATCCGCAGCTTGTTCAACAGCAACAGTGAAGTCGTCAGCTGTTCTCCTGACGCTGGGCAAGCGCTTCGGCACAGTTCGACGGCCTTATCCAGCTTGCCACTGGAAACCCCCTCAAGGAACAACCTGACCAATTTTCGGGCATGCATCTTGTGCGCAGATTACGATCCCTCACGCACACATTACACTCATCATCCACCTGAGCGAGCGAGCGAGCTACAAGCATGGGCCCGATCCTTCCCATGATCCAGCTTGTTATTCACATCATGTACTGTGCAAGCCCTCTTCTGTTTCACGTGACCTCGTTGTGTCGCAAGTCAACTGCCAATGGAGGCAAAATCATCTGGCTGCAAGTTGCTGGTCAAATTACTATGTTTTCAGCAATTGAGAATCCTCAACGTCGAGCCAACCGAACTAGATCATCTTTCTTCACGATCTTCGCTGCGTAAAAATCTGATCCTACTCCCTGCTGCTCCTCCATGAATCTGGGCCAGCATGTACTGAGACATCCCATCCGCATCCCCATTTCGTCTGCCTTCTGATACCGGAAGATAGACCAGACTAGACCTGACCAGAGTCCAGAACCTGCCTGGAGACAACTATATCCAGTTCTAGTGGAGGGTTTTTCATGGCCGGCGAGCAGACAGTGTCGCCTCTTGCCGCCCAACACATAATCCACTTCACGAGACTGCGACACGCTCGCTGACCATCGGTCTGGAGTAGTCCACTGGTTGCAGCATGGCGTGAGTCAGGCAGGCAGGCAGGCATAATCTTTGCGCAGCTCTGCTCAATCTACTCCCATCGCAGATATACGTCTCCTCGTCCAGAAGAATCGCTTCGAGAGTAATGAATACCCCACACTGCCGTATGAAGCACTTTACTATCAACCAAAGAGAAGAAGGAATTTGTAACCCAGGATAAACTTTGTTCTGACTTCAACAGCCTCCATGAATCTGAATCCTGCTACTGCCGCTGCAGTCATGAATGTGGACACTGTTGAAGCCATACCATCTACATATCTGACCGAGATCACAACAGGTCCAACAGCAGATGCATTCCCCTCCCTCCCTCCTCCTTCCTTTCCCACTGTGGGGAATAAGGCCTCCTCGTGTGTTTGTCAGGCTAGACCCGACGAGCGAGCGACGTTGAACCAAAACCACGAGTACATCCATCCATCCATCCGTCCGTCCGTCAATATATCCCCATTCATCCATATTAATCGGTGTATGCACGAGTGGGCATTCTTTCGTTCTTATAATCTGTGGGTTTTGCTTGTTCCTTCACTCACTCGAAAACCACTGACTGACCGTCTGTCCCGGGGATCATGAAATTCCGCTTTGTTATGCCTCCCATCGTTTCCAACCTCGTCACCAGAAAGGAAGGGAGCGAGGAGAGGGAGGAGAGGGAAGGCAAACTGACGGTAAAACAGCACCAGACAGAAGGAACAGAGGCGATATTTGCAGTACGTACGTTGCCATGGGATAAAAGACATGGGCCTTCACACACGGTCACGGTCAAACCTGTCTGTTCTGTACTGTCCTCCTGATGTCCCATCGCCTTTCCTTTTTTTCCCGTTGCTTAGAGCCGGCAACTTGTGGACGAGGTTCTCACTTCCCTTGCGAATAAGTGTACTTGTATGCGTAGAGCGTGGACTGATCAGAACACCGTCTACTGTACAGTATGTGTGCATCCTCTCAGAAATCTGGGGGATTTGCGGATCTCGTAATCGTAACGGACTCTCTCTCAAAACAGAAAGTCGGGCATTTCCGCTACAGAAAAGGGCCTTCCCTCTACGGATAAACTAACTCGCTGACTTCATCCGACATTTACCGAGGCCGGCTTCATTCGCTCGCGTGGTCGACGGAGTGGTTCATGTGGTCCCCCGCAATTCGAGAAAACGACACATTCCAGACTCTTCACACTTTCGAGGGTATCGTCTGGCCCCGTCACTGCAGAAAACTGACTCCTCTTTTGGCCCCACTAGAGCTGGAGATTCCCAGACCCCGGTGGTCCAAAATACGCTCTATAAAAAACGTAATGTCAACTATAATTGCTATTTGTAGTCGTTCCCCTCCTTTTGAGCAGGGAGTCTGAGGTCCATCATTGGTTCCCAACGTTTTTCAGGTCCAGCCAGCAGTGGCAATAGCTCTGGCGTAGCATTCTTCATCGACTTCTTACAAGGCGTCCCTCACCCCTACACTTACTCTGGCACCATTCTGGGATTCGTTTTAGAAATCCAGGGCTTGGCTGTAGATGGTGCAAAGCCTTTGATTCTCTGATCTACTGCCGTGCTTCGGTTCCTGCCCACAATGTTCTGGTGCATTCTCAATGTCGTGGAGTAAGAGAGTTTATCCGCCTCAACAAGATGTGAAAGGCCAGAGATCTGAAGCAAAACTCCTTTATCGCATTCATTACATGTACCAAAAAAATTTCTCAAGATGTGCCCCTCGGGTATTTCGGCAGGAAACTGTCGGCATGAAGCCCTGATCTGTGATCCCCATAGAGATGTATGCGCTACTTTCCTATGGCGGCTTCAGGAATTTCATTTCTTCTTCCTGACCTACTATCTACTGATAACTGTCCTCGTTAATAAGCTTCCGCGGCTGTAACGCCAATCGGCAGGATTTCAAATACCACATCCGAGCCACGCTGATCTGTTCCATATTGGTGTCTTTCACTGCTCAGGTGTACAAGCTTGTGACAAGAGGGAAGAGGAAAAACCAGTAGAAAAGTTAAGGCTCCTGCCCATATCATCAAGTCCATCACACCAGCTGCCAATCCTCATGCCGATCGAGCAATTGATCAATGCCATGTTCAAAAGATTTTAGGTGATAGCTGCTTTAGACTAGAGGCAGGACTCTCGTGATAACCAACTGGCAACGTTTGCATACTTCCGTTATCCCGCAACCTTTCAAACCATGTACACCACATCGAATAAAAGTGGGAAGGGTAGCACCGGAATCATGACCAAACACATGCATCTCTCATCTCGTAACGATGATCCTAACGACAATGAAGTTTTATAATACTCAAGACACGGTACTTCAAATTCCAAGCAAAAGAACATCAGAGCTTCAACGTGGTCGCCTTCGTGAATGATATATATCTTTGGAGACTTTGATTTCTGTCCGAATGGATATGAGCGAATCTAGAAAAACCCCATAACAATCCAAGTGCTGAAGGTGAGATGGTACCATGAGTTCTACCGCAGCGTTGTCCTTCATGCATAGCTAACTTCTCACTTGTCCACAGTCCAGGTGCAGAGCAAAATCTCAGCAGCAATGACATGGGGACGGCAATCTACACGAACAAAAAGTCTCGGGTGGACTTCTGATCTACACCGATCCTACTTCAAGTCGACCGGGAACGATACCCTCGTCAAAGGGTTTGAAAGAGTCCGGGTCTCTTCTTCCTGAAGTACAGATCCGAGTCTAACTTCTACTCTGGCTGTAATTAAGGCGTCTAGCTCAAGTGGCTAAGCTTCTGATAGTGATGTGTGACGTGGGTACGAAGCCATGAAGACCCAAACCTCCCATGGGAATTCTCTGCTCGAGAACACCAGAGGGGGGAGAGAGCACTAATGACTAAACCCCGACACATGTTACAACACTGCAACTGTTGCATACCGTTGCCCCTTAGGAAAATTGGACCCGGCAGGCTAATAAAGGCCACAAAAACACCACGTGCTTTGTTCTAACTGAATCTGTAGATCCATATTGTACAGTCCTATAGCCTACCTAAACCAGCGTAAGGTAGAAGGGATAACTGCTCGAGTCATGTCACCGCCTGACGTACAAGACTTTGGATCGCCTCTACTCCGACTCGAAGGTCGTCGCACCCTCGAAGAGATCCATCAATGAGCGGTAGCACTCGCGAGCCCGCGTACGGACACCCTCCTCCTCGTACCATCTAGAAGACCTCAACAAACACATGTACAAAAGACTCCAGTCGCTTACAAGCGGTCACTTCCAATCCAGCTCTTGTAAAGTCAGCAGAACTCTCTCAATTGGTGGAGCACATTTCTCGTCCCGCTTCCACACTCCCAACTGGAGTTCTACCAACTCGAAACGCATAGGATCGCTCAGACTATCTCCCCAAACCGGGCGGCAATCTAAGCACGCGAAAGTCAATAGAGGAGGCTGACGAAGTGAACCCGTGGAAAGAATTGCATCACCGACGAGCTCAGCTTGGAACAGCAGCGGAAGACAGTACTCATCCCCTCCGTCCTCGCCTTCTTCCTCCTCCCACGGAAGGACGCCATCCGGGACGGGTGCACTGTGCAGCAAGCAGACCATTTTGTGGTCAGTGCTGCGCACCACACTCCAATTCAGCCAATACTTGGATGTGTGCATGGTTTGGAATGGTTTTTCATAGTACAACTGGCCTTGATAAAACAAGGGCGTGAGAGCTTGTCTCGGCAGTATGGAGTCCGTCATCACAGATGGGTCAATTTGCAAGCCCATGCTGAAGGCCTGATTGATATTACTTCCTGACAAAACCTCGGATATCACAGGTATGCCATTGTAGGTTAAATCAACGAAAAACGTCAGATGCTCCAACCGGAGCCACGGGCGGGGAGGCAGCTGTTTGGGAGGTCGGCTCATTGCCAGAGCTCGCCGAGAAAAGAATGCCCGGAAGCCACCCATGGCCTCGATAACTTTCCGCGCATCCTTCTTCATGCAGCCTGGCCATCTATCGCTACATAGAGTCCTCCACAAATGCTCGCCTTCAGCTACTTCGCGCCACAAGCGGCACACGCAGCAAGAAACTCCGAGCTCTTTCTCCGGTAGGCGCGCGAAGACCAAATGCAGCACTTCAACGACTTCCATTCCTGCGTACATGGTTCTCACTGCGGCCGGGCACGAGGACAGAATTGAACGACTGCGTTCTCGAACGATAAACGCGATCAATGCTCGGGCATCATCCACTGACCATCCTTGTCCTCGCCGAGTCCGGGCACATAGAGCAGAGCGAAGATCCTCGAATGCAAGCGTCGATGGTTCAAATCTGAGGATTCTGGTCGGACATCGTCATAGAAGCATGGTGTAGCAACAGCGCCAAGATCCACACGCAATTATACTGCCTCGTGTGCCGTCTGACTCCCTCACTCCATCATCGGCACAAGATCCCTGTGCCCGGAGAGCTCTGAGAGCTTAGGGCTCGAGAGCTGCTGCCTGTCAGACCACAAAAGTCCTACGTCCAGATGCACATCGGCTGCCGGGCAAGAGGAGCGCAGATCGATGCGACTACGCAGAATCTCAGCACGCACCCGACCAACCAACACCCTCGCTCCGAACCCAGCACCGTCGGCGGAATCCCATTCTACCAGCGCCAAACCATCGTGATCTCGGCCTCCGGGGAGCCAGCAACTCGGGCTCTGCTGCGGCCTCGCCGGCCACGACGACGGATTGTCCTCCCGCTCGGCCTCTGCCTCTGCCTGCCTGCCGGGCTCGCTCAATCATCACCTTCCGGAAGGCAATAAAAACTAAAGAAAAGACGGAACAAAAAGAAGGAGGACGACTCCCTCCCCGTAATTACACCTTCCGCGCGCGGCCTGTCCTACGCCCAAATTCCATCCCAAACCACGCACCGCTCGCTCGTTTGGCTACAAAAATGCCATCGACAATTCTTGCTCGAGGCGCGGCCTGACCACCACCACCAATTCTTGCTCCTTCATCTGTCGGCCCTGCTCGGCGCCAAGCCAATTCGCCCTCGGACTCCACCACCATCCGATTCACACTCGCATTGGCCACACATTCGCATTACAACCCTTACACTCGTACCAAAACCGACGCATCATGCTTCTGCTTCTGCTTTCGACCGACCCCTCCCGCCACCGATCCTCCTCTACTACGCACCCGCCCGCCGAGCTAAAGCTTCCCAACGCTCTCTCTCTCTCTCTCTCTGTCTCTCTGCTGCTCTTCTTCTTTCTCAGCGCCTCTGGCCTCCGATTGAGCTCTGGCGATCTACGCTGCCCGAGAATTGTCTTTCTGTCACTCCCTCCTCGCGGAGGGCTCTGCCTCTCGCCGCGGGACACGAGAAGAATCGTACGAGAGAGGGAGGGGGGCCGAGAGCCGAGTGCAGCGCCACAACGTCATCCGGCCTCGAGCCAGGCCTTGCACTTCGCCCACCCCGATTCCGACCCGCTCCGCGCATGGCCCATCTTTTCCGCTTCGCATAAGACCGGGCCCGACCGGATCTGCCCGGGCCGGGCCCCGTCCTAGGTCCCCGCGCCACCGGCCTAATCTCCTGCCCATTGCCCATCCTGCACTACTCTAGTCCTCCCCGACCCCTAATCGCCTTCGTCAGCCGCAGGATCCGACGGCCCTGCTCGGCGTTCGGACAATATTGCCTTGGCTGGATGGTTCTATTGAATTCCGGGTCGCTCCGTGGCCATGATATTAGCTGCCTTTCCCTAAGTACGGTCCGCTCTTGTCTTTCTATCCAGGGGCATAGGAAATATTTCTCCCCGGTGGGGTCCAGTCCGTTTGTTTGTCCGTCAGTCGGTCGGTCAGCCAATCAGTCAGTCGAGCTGACTCGAGCATCCTCGGCCCGCCCCGACAGCCTTCGCCCTCCAACCAGCGCACGCCATCTGGCCTCCGCGAGGGCGTCTAAGTTATGAGCAACGTATACGCTCGCACCGGCCTGTACGTTCCCGCATATGGTTCATATCGAGGGGCCTCGTCGGTCGCAACTTTTCCACGAACCACGTCAACAATTGTCAGTCGCAGTGGACAAAGTTGAGTCATTACCTAGTTGAGCATGAGTGCTGCAACCGCACCTCCGAGAGAAACTATTGCTGCACGACCAAGTGGCAAACAGTTTTTCTTCATATCGAGTCAGCCAGTTATTGCTCCCCTCTATACCGTCCAGCTAAAATAGCTGTCCTCTTGGCTTGCTCACCTTTCAGCCGTAGTGCACATGAAACCACTTTCTACCAAATAAAGTTCACTGTGTCTCGCCCAAGTCATTTGGACCAGATAAATTTCCGATAACAACCAAAAGTTTCGGATTAAACAACAATGTAGTTTTGATGTTTCAAGTACATACTAATTTGTTTCTAAACAGTCAGTATAACTTACGCATGAAAATGTCATAGTTCGTTTCATTTCGTGCGTATCAATGTAAGTTCTACAACGGCTTGCCTCTTCATGTCACACTTTGCCAAAACGTATTTTTCTGACAAAAAATGATATTCATGTAATACAACTCTAGTTTGGGTTAAAATAAAATGAAAAAGTTAAGAATTTCCGTAGAGATACAAGAATGTGACCTACCTTTTCCGTCATTTTGAATCAATGGTGGGTCCCTGTGCCGCAAATGTCAGTTCTCCAAATGTTTCTCCTATTTCTGGAAGTCTTTTCTTTCCAACAAGGTTCATAGCCTATTGGAAAATTACTTTTTTAACCTATTACATTCAAAGTTCCAATTTAGACCAGAAAAATAGGTTAATATTTTCATGTGAAAATTTCAGAAAGTACTTGTTACCAAGAGATTATGGTAAAATATAGTTATTTTAAGAATTTTGTACTTTTTTCCTTATCATTATTTAAACTTTACAATACATATTCATGTCATACGGCTGGTCAGAAAAGACGTAGTTTCTCTCTATATTTTATTATGTATATAAAATTTTTATTTTGTTTAACTATATCGATTTTTATTTTTATTCAACTATAACCATATTTCTAATAATTCGGATTTTGTGATAGTTTTATTTAGACTTGCATCTATGGATAAAAGATGAAATTCGCATCAGGTCCTTCTTATATATGGCGCGTTGATGGGCATTCTGACTGAACACAATGAGATAAAGCCATTTTTTAATGTGACCTGATACAAAAGACGGTAAAGAATTGGTTCACCGAGTTCTGAATTTGAGCCAAGCCTTCACAATATGACCACATGAGATCTTGTTTCTCATGTATGACTCCTATCGCTCATGTGAAACCCACTTTGTTCTAATCAACCTCATGATCATCCCTCACCACTAATGTAGCTGTAGGAAAAATGAAGATGCACGTGTACTTTGAACATGTCGAAAGACAACTCGAATGTGCCACACATAATTAATCATTTACATTGATTGATTGAATGAATATATATAAAAATGTATATTTCTTACGCAGTGAACATATATTCAAGCATAAAATTCAGAATGGATGCTTTTAAATTGATTTTCTTAATGTCAATGAATATAATGAATAAAATAAGGACATGAGATCCAATGCGTATGGAGTGATTTCTTCTAGGTGAAGATAATGAATCGCTGTAATCTACAGATGTATAGACTCAATGTTTTCTTGACAGAAATCAGGCAAAGTTCGTGCTATTCTTCGAGTGAAAATCTCAAACATTCCAACTCCTTATACCAATCCCGTACTTCCAGAATAGATCCAACAGGCTCGCTAAGTGGTGCTTGTTCTGCATTTATTTATAGAATACCGAGTAATACAGCAATAAGTATAGAAAGGATGAAACCAAAGGCCAATCTTATTTTGGATGGTCGGACATGCCTTTCGTCATGCATTTCATTTCACTGTCAGGCCAAAAGTTGAAGTCGTTGATGAAGAGCGAGCACCAGTCATGCACCGTACATGAATATGTGAATACTTTATACGGTGAGTGTACAACGGATTTAGTTACATAACAGTATCAAGGAAGAAAGAAGGAAAGAAGGAGCGACTGGAGATCGTCAGGGATCATCACATTCGCTTTATTTGAAGGATTGATTCTTTCGCTCGGGGGTAGGGGGAGGGTAGGAACAAAAAGAAAAGTTCGCTCAGATTCGTCGTACGTCTCGAGAAAGGGCACCCGTTGCAGCTGACCGTGCCAGCGTGCGATTTTGTGAGCTCCGCGGGCTTACTGGACTGTACTCGGATGACATGTCGACTAAAGCGAAGGTAGCTCAGGATAGCCTTCTCAGCTCGACTTTACGCTGACTTTATTCGAGCCCCCGAAAGAGAAAGAGAGAATCGTCGGGACTCGTAGCTTGTATTCGAGAAACTGCTCCCATCGTCGCTGGTGCATGCATGTCCTCGCTCGTCCAGGGCCTCGAATAAGATCTGCCTGCACATCTTTTGCCTCCCTCAGAAACGAAGACAAAAATCTGCCCACGTATGCCCCATGCCAATCATTCGTCTATGAATCTGGGGAGAGAAGCGCAAGCCTGCCCCTCCTTCTCCTTCCGCTCAGCCAGAATCCACTTGAGCACTCGCGCAGGGCCACCGGTTGCACGCACCTTCTCTTCGTTTCGACCAGATCTTCCGACTTTGGTTCGACGGTGCACCGAGTTGACCGGTAACGAACCGGGAGACCGCTCCAGGCACGCGAAACACAGTTGGATGCCATCAGTGTGATTACTTCACGCCATTCTTGTTCGGACATGCAGTTATGGCTGCACCGATGGCTGAGCTTTCCGGAAAATGACTCGCAGGAAAATAAATGGTTTGGTCCAGAAAGTACGAGACCCCGTCATCCCGGTCAGATGAACGACCGACGGACCGGCCGAACCGGCCGAGCTCGAGCCCGACACCGGAGCGTGGAGTAAGTGAGAGAGCAGCAGCAGCGGCGTGGTGGCAAGTGGCGGAGGAGCTGAAAGTGGCCAGACTCGGCCATCCAGCAGCGAGCTTCCACTGGCTGGCCTGCCTGATCTGTCCTCAACTGAGCTGCTCCCCTTCTACACCATCGTCGGCCTCGGCCATCATCACCGCGAATGCTGTCATAAATAAGGACGAACGGCGTGCCTGATAACTCGACCTGGCCGCAGTAATTAGCACACTTGATTACAGCAGATTTTTCTCGCTGCCCGGGCTTTCACACTGTGCTTACAATGCCTTACCATACCGTTGCCGTCTTCAGATAGGTCTGGTCCGGCCCGTCATGGACACATGGATTCAAAGAAATGCGCAACAGAATACTAGGCTTCATAAATTTCTCCTCAAGTAGGGCTTCCTAGGATATCCATTATGGACCTCCGTACCCACTGTTACTGCAACACATTTATTAGTTCCGCGTGCGAGAAGCCCTTATCTAGACATGTTCAATCATATCATTGGCACAAATGCAGTAGACTCTCTCTGCCTGCAAGTGGAGAGTGATCCCAAGTCTTGTGATTTTGCATGTTTACGAGATTTGCAACAAGAGAGTTAAGTGTTAGGTGATTGGGATGGAACTCAAAATTTTTGTGAATAAATCAGTATCAACAAAAAAGATTTGTACATTATGTATAAAAATTGTATCAAATTTTGTAACTTTTGTTAACTAAATTTTATTTTTATTTTGAATTCAAATTTTCTAATGAGTTTAAAATCAAATGATTCGATTTTGAATTTGAACATTCCTTATAAACATGCAAGAGAGTGTTTTGATTACACACACATGCAACAGAATCATCAAATAAATATCTAACACTTGAGTATCATGATAATACCTTATTTCACAAACTTAAAGTTGAATCTTACAAATTGAAAGATGTCGTAAATCTTCAATGTGATAAAAATCATTATTTGATTATTAGAAAAAATGAGATGCGACTGTAATAAAATGAATTTAATTTATGGTGAAAGAAAATGCAGATCATAAATTCAACTTTCTGAAAACTTTAGCTATAGTATGTGCAAAAAATTACAATCTAAACTTTTAATGATTAATATCAATATCAACTTCAGATAAAAATACACGAATGCAAAAAAAAATGGTTACGTAAATGATTTTCTTTTGAACCTTTTTTTATGATGAAACTGCATAGTTTTTTTAATTCCAAATAAAAAAAATTTAAAAATGTCATATGAAAACTTTCTGAAAAACACTTCGCGCGTCTTTATTGATTATATAAACCTGTTATATTTTCAGTTTTCTATAATCTTGAATATCATTTACTTTGCATGATGTAATTGAGTTTTCGATGCTTCTAATACAATACATAATTTCAAATTTTGATGATATATAAATTTTTATTTCACAGAATATGCACATTATGCAAAATATAATTGAATGGTAAAAAAATTTCAGAAAATAAAAATAAAAATAGATCAATTCTAGAAATATGTGTATTACTAAATCATTTTACATACTTTTACCCAGATACTAAACATTTTGGAGCGATGAAAAACTAAATCAATTTTTTATATTAAAATTTACATTATGAAGCTTGATGTAATAAAATGTTCTATTGATTTAAATTCTATTGTAACTACTACAATATAACAATTCTAGTTTTATCTATTTTATCTATTATATTGAAGAACTTGTGTTAAATGTAT